ACAGAAATAAAATTAGGCTTTAAAATGAGAAGAGGGGGCGTGAGCGAGGCTAGTACATACTTGCTAAGAAAAGACTGATTTTGGCAAATTATATACCCTGTAAGAAAATAAGGGTGGGTGGGCGGGGCTAGTACTTGCTAAGATAAGACTGATTTTGGCAGATGACATACCCTGTAAGAAAATAGAGGGTGGGTGGGCGGGGCTAGTATTTTGTAAGATAGGACTGATTTTGGGCACTTCGCCATTTTCGACCATTTTTAAACTATTTTCGACCTTTTTTAAACTATTTTCGAAAATTAGTTGAAGAGGGTGGGTTGGGGAAGGCTAGTATTTGATAAGACAAGACTGATTTTGGCACTTTCGACATTTTCAACTATTTTCAAAAATTAGTTGAAAATATTTTTTTGTAGATTTCGATATCCCGAAGGCATTTTCGGCTTCGTTTCTTCGGAAATTTCTACCGGTTTTCCAAAATCGCTAATTCAAATATGGCAATTTTTACAGTTTCGTCAAAATAGTTCGCTATAAAAATTTTCCACGCAGATAAAAAAGGAAATTATTGCTAATTTTTGTTTCACAAAATACTATTATTTTAAGAATGTAGTTTGTGGTGTTTATATCTTCACAGAAATGTTTAAAATTTCTTTATTTGAGAGAAGGTAGAACAGGTCAGGTCACTTTAGGTCAAGTCAGGTCAGGTGCATGAAATAAAAAATAAATTTTATAGCAAATAGTATAACAAAAAAAAAAAAAAATACGATTAGCGCTTTTTGTTTACTTTTTTCACATCCTAGATTCTATTATTAGTTTCCACTCCCACTCGACAGAAGAACATAATTGGCCCCGCCCACCCACCCGGTCTCCTTTTCAGTGATTGTGATTTTATCCGATTCGAATGAATGAATGATTTTATACTGAACAGAAATAACATTAGGCTTTAGAATGAGAAGAGGGGGCGTGAGCGAGGCTAGTACTTGCTAAGAAAAGACTGAATTTGGCAAATGACATACCCTGTAAAAAAAATAGAGGGTGGGTGGGCGGGGCTAGTATTTTATAAGATAGGACTGATTTTGGGCACTCGACTTTATTTCTTCGGATATTCGTACCGTTTTTTCAAAACGAAGTCGATTGCATCGGAAGAATGAATGCTATTTTGCCGATTATATTAATTTAGAAATTGGTATATTTGGAGAGATGCAGTCTTCATTCTAAGCAATATATGAATGAGTATAAGTTATTTATATGACAAAAAATTAATTAATTTATTTCCACTTTTAACTTTATTTAAAGATTAAACTTACCTCCAAATATTCTTTGAGATTAATTTTCGGCTTTTTCTTCTGATACTAAGAGGCTTCTTACTATGATTTCCCATACTGAAAAACGACAAACACAAACTTAACCACACAAACAAGAACACAAACCACTGAAGCGCAGTCTAACTTGAAAAGTTCGGATGAAAATAACAAGTTCTGGTCATTTCTAACAGTATTTAAATAGAAAACTAAATGCACTTCTTAGAAGAAACATTTAGTTGGTCTATATATAATTATTCTAGCGCGGGTTTAAAAAATATTAATTTTATTACCTGCCACAATTATTCTCAAACATAATCTTATTATTATAAGGTAAAGCTCGACTATTAATTCGTTGCTTAAATGTATTATTAATGCTGTTTTCTTATTACTTAGGTATGAAGTGTTTGATAAGGTCGATATTATATAGAATAACATGGTATTATAAGGTTCAGATGATGACTAATTCTATTGATAGGAATGTAATTTTCGACGATTACCTACTTCACTGAGTTTTCTTTAGGAAATAGTTTATTAGTCAATGTTAAGTTGTGTTGGTACCGGGACAAAAATCAGATAATTTTATTAATGTTATTATTTGGTGTTCGAAAAATCCATTTTTCACATTTAGAGCGGTGCAATAACTTTCGGATTACCATTCCATTAGATAAACCAGTCCCGTTAGTAAAATCGTAATTCGCCCAGCACCTGTACCAGCATCCCGCCGTCAAAATCCATCAGCGGCGATAAAAAGTCGCGTGTCCAATATTATAACCGAACATCTTGTTCCCAGTCGTGGAAATAGTGAACACTCATAAACTTTTTCGACTATTATGTAAGTATGTGAGCAATGGCAGCTGCGCCTCAATTTCCTCCTCTTAATTAATTATTCTTGGCTTCCACACCTGATACCTTTCCGACTTTCTACACCCAGCACGTGCTTCTATTTCCAGTTAAATTTTATAAACCTAATCCTTTCATCCGCGATTCAAAAAATTGGAGCAAGCGCTCTCCCCCGGAAAACTAAAAAATCCGGGCTTTAGCTCGACTTCATGATAATTAAAAAGAACCAGCGAGCTCGTAATTGGGAAATGGTCGTTCGGATTTGCGCTAATGTCGTTTTGATTACGACGCCGTTCTACTTTTTCGAAGGGGGTTTACGCCGCAAATAGAACGCTAGCGGATAACGTATGAGAGTTTTCGGAAAAAAGTTAAATTCGTTCGCAGTTCATTTAATCGACTTTTGGACACTTCTGTCCTTCCGGATATTGTTATCACCTGGGGAACTTCAAAGTGTCCCTTTTATCTTTTCGCCATCTCGTTATTGACGCTTTTTGTTGAGTGTTTGTAATTAATTCTAGACAGACGATGTATTAAGAGCGTCATCTTTACCGTTATGAAGGTAGCTTGACGGAAAAATGGCGCCGAAATTTTCCACCGATTTTTGTTCATCGCGTTAGCTTCCTCAGGCAGTACATTTTCTGAAATGAGCTGCTGCAGTCTGTCTGGTTAAACGCCAGGTGAGTCTGTTGACCGCCAACACCTGCTATTTTTTATGGCGGCTGCCGAACTCTCTTCAGACGGTCCGCTAATACGATAGCCACCACCAAAACAGATTCATTTAAATAGCGTTTATTGTGAAGTATATCATCGACTGGATGCCGATGGCTACGTCTTCTGTTCTTGTTTTTTGGAAGACAATGTAACACAGGTTTTGTATGCAAATGACATGTTTTATGATCGCGTGCAAGTGATGAAAGGACAAATGGACAGTCATTTCAGAGGCTGCGTGGAAGCCATGTGGGAAAAACGAGTCCACGCGAAAACGGAATTTTTAACAAAATTAACAATCCTGTTTGCCTTTTTTTTTATTTTGTTTTGCCTCTTCTATTTTTGAAAAAAAAATTTTGTTTTTTCACTCTCATCTAGAATTGCGTTAATAAAGCCCCTATCATTCTAGTATGCGGTCCAACATAAGTATACGTATTAAGTATGCAGGTGTCCCCCATCTTAGCTTTTTTATTGCTTTTTTATTAAGCCAAATTACTGAAATTTGAAAACCTCTATTATTTAATAGACGACATTTTAGTGTAGTCCTAAAAAACTACTTTAATTTTTTTGCAAATGGCGTAATTACTTAAACGTCGAGAAAAAACTCTTGATAAGTAAGAAATTTCGTTAAAAGGAGAAACATAAAAAGTTTCTCCAACTCGTAGAAAAAGGATTATAAGAAACATCTAAAATAAGAGTTTGAGTTTGAAAGATTATATACCATGACAGCTAGATTGTAGTTATTTACGTTACAAATAGGGTAAAATGATTATTACCTACGAGTGTGAAATTGACCCATAATGGTAATGCTTTAATCCGCGTGTGGCTACACAATTTTATCTACGACGTCTGAACTTGCTCGAAACCACTTTGAATGTACACAAGGAATTTCATTTGTGTGGAAAAATGTCGTAGATAAAATTTTCCTTTTGAACGCTAATAATTATCACTAAATTCTCAGACAGATTTTTTCAAACTTATGCATCCCTTGTCAAGTAGTAACAGTATTTTTTTTCCAAAGTATAATATTAATAAAAATTTGTTTTAACATAAAGACATTTCGAACTCTTGTTACAAAAATCTTCTACTTCATAAATGATAAACTTACTTTAATATATATATTTTTATACAGGGTGTCCTACCAAGACCTTTTCGAAGTACTGCCACGCCTTAGTTTTTTTCAATTTCTAACGTGGCACTGTATAAATTTTTCGTGCTTTCAAATTTTAAACACTCTCTAATCGAAAATTTCCGATACAAAATTTTGACATTTTTTTTTGATATTTCAGTATCGCCTATTTAAAATATTTATGTTTTGTATTTCGAAAATCGGTCGAGAAAGTGTTAAAAGTGTGAAAATTAATTCTTTAAATATCTCCAAAACGGTAAAAAATTCAGAATTTTGAAAAGTTGCTTAAAGATCTCCAAAAATTCTGGGATACATATATATATATATATCTTGATGTTTTTTTTTAAATATCTCATAACGGTCAAAAAAATAAAAATTAATAAAGAAAGAGGGGCAAGTTTATTGAAAGTAATCGTCCTGCATCAAGAAAATTTTCAAAAAATTTGTTTTGTTTTTGTTTAAAAAATGTCGAAATCTCAAAAAACGGAAAAAAAATCTGTAATGTAGTTTTAGAGTTTTGAGGAAGCATTTCCACTAAAACAAGTTACCATGCACAAAAAAAGTCTTAATCAATTATCTGTAAATTGGTTTACTAATAAAATAAGGCAAATGAGAGAAGAGAAACTTTAGGTCTTATAACAGATGCATATAAATTGCACAAGACTCAAGAGTTAAAATTGTTAATGTGTAACTACAGAACCCAATATAACCTAGAAATAAAATATGCAAAGATAGAAGCTAATAATAACTTTGTACTTAAAAACAAAAACAATCCTAGAGTCTTGTGGAATCTAAGAGGAACAATAAGAGAACATCAGTCACGGAGTCCACTATGCTTTTTCACACAGATGGTATTTGTAAAAAAATATGGTGATCTCCTTATTTGACTTTCTACTACTATAACCCTTTAGTACAATGAAAGTATTTACGAACAAAGACGAAAATGTTGATGTTGGTATACAAATTCACTGGATTGAGATTTGAAGGGGAAGTACGTTGAACACAATTAATTAAAATGTTCTTACACTTGATATTGCTGAGCTCTTTCAACACGTTTGCGTCGTGACCCTTTGCTGCTCGCGTTGTTGAGGTTCGATTTTTTCGGTGGCATTTGACTGAAAATAATAATTTAATCGTTTAAATATTAGAAAGAAGAACTGAAAAACATGTTATCATAGCACATTGAAATAATAAGTGCAAAATAATTTTCAATGGAGGTTAAATAAAAATAATATAAAAATTTTTGTACAATTATTGAAAAAGTGTGGGGAGCTTTGTGCCATTTTCTCATTGATATATTAATTAACTTTTATAAAACTTTGTGATATTACTTACATGTATAAATTGAAATTATTGTTCCTGTGCTCCTACTGTGGCTATGTCTCGTTCTCCTGCTGCTCTTGTTCTTATGATATTCTCTTTTTATAGCGTCAACAACACGTGGTAATTATGCTGTTAAAATGTAGCACGTTCGTAGATTTACCATAGCAGCGCCATCTATTGATTACTTACTCAACCCAGTCGAAAGGTATCGACACCTGTTAGAATCATTTGGAGTTAACAGATAATTGTGACTGTCAAATAATAGCAGACAAATAATTAACAATAAATTAAAATTGCGACTATAATTTGAGATTTAAACTATTCTATCTCTCAAGTTGGATCGAACTGCACATGGTGTGCGAATTTTATTATAATCGGTTAAGTGGTTTAGGAGTCCATTGAGGACAAACATTGTGACACGAGATTTATATATATTAAGATATCTCTACTACCTATAGTTGCAAAAGTTTTTGAGAAGATATTATTAAAACAAATATTACAATTTTTAGAGAACGAAAACATTCTTGTTCCAAATCAGTATGGATTTCGAAAAGGCTCTTCAACTTCTGCAGCTATCCTCAATTTTGTCAATCAAGTATCACAAAAAAAAAGAATCATACAATGCTTTTTTTCTGGATCTTAGTAAAGCTTTTGACTGCGTCTCTCACGACATCTTAATAAGGAAGTTACTTTATTATAATTTTCATCCGCTTAGCACGAAGCTTATCTGTTCATATCTAACAAACCGTACTCAGTGTGTGAAGGTAGATGGATCACTTTCTGATGAGTCCATTATTACTTATGGTGTGCCGCAGGGTTCCATATTGGGTCCCATTCTGTTTTTGTTGTATATAAACGATTTACCCTACTATTTAAAAAATGTTGATGTTATGATGTATGCGGATGATACGACTGTAAGTTTTGCAGACTCACCGAGAGAAGACACAATTTCAAAACAAAAGCAAATTATCACGAATACTGAATCATGGTTCCTTGCGAATAGATTAGGCATAAACAGTAAAAAAACTACGAAAATGTTATTCACACTAAAACATGTACAAAAAGATGAACATTTTGTAGAGTGTGTCAAATATCTTGGCGTATTTATAGATTTTAAATTGTCGTGGAATAATCATGGTGATCAGGTTGCCAAAAAGGTATCTAGAAATATCTTCTTACTCCGAAATTTGTCTCTTAGTCTTTCTATGCATGTTCTTAGAGTAGCATATTTTGCCTTGGTGCACTGTCATTTGGAATATGCCCTAAGTATTAGCGTGGGGCCATACGTCAACGTGTGACAGATTATTTAAGTTGCAAAGACGTGCCATTAGGGTAGTAGCCAATTTAGCTTATCGTGAGGACTGTCGATCATATTTTCGTAGTTTAGGCATTCTAACTGTACCGTCAATGTTTATTTTTAAGTGTTTAGAGTATATAAAAGACAGGCCAGAATTGTATCCGAAATTAAATTCGTACCACAATTACAATACTAGATATGATTTAATAGCGTATAGACCATTACGTCTTACAAAATCTAAAACTGGCATAAATTATTACTGTATTAAATTTTTTAATGTAATACCAGAACAGATAAAAATAATGCATACTAAACAGTTTCTAAACACCATTAAACGGTATTTGTTACAGAAGTGCTACTACAATTTTGATGAATTTTTGAATAATGCTTTAGAAATGGTTAATGTTTAATGATTAATTTAAGTAATTGTTATGCTCAGTTTTATGTTGTATGAATTTACTTTTTTTTTTTTTTTAATTTTGTAATTATGACATGTGCAAATACTATGTATCTTAGCACAAATAAAATATCTATCTATCTATATCTATCTAGATCGGCTGATTCGAAAAACATAAAGTATTACTAGTCCCGGACCAGGATTTTCAAAAAATTTCTGCCAGAAAAAAGTTAAAAAGTGTGAAAATTCAAAATCTAAAATTCTCCCGGATCAAGAGATTTTTCAAAACATTTACTTTATAAGATAAATAAGATTTTTTTTGAACGGTTAAAAGTTTATACGTGGCTAGTGAAAATTTCAGATTTTTGAAAAGTTGCCTGAAAATTTTCAAAAAATTCTGGGATATAGATAATTAATTTGTTTTTAAAATATCTCGAAAACTTGAAAACCGCTAAAAAATTTAAAATTCATAAGGGGTGGATTTCGACGAGTTTATTGAAAAAACATAAAGTCATAGTTCCGGATCAAGAGATTTTTCAAAAAATTAGTTTTGAAAATGAGATTGTTTAAACATGTCGAAATCTCCAAAAACGGCAAAAAAAATTGGAATGTAGATTTCGACCGGCTGATTGAAAAGAGGGTGGGTGGGGCTAGCACCTGCTAGGATAAGACTGATTTTGGCAAATAAGATCCTTCGAAGAAAAAAGAGGGTGGGTGGGCGGCGTTAGTACCTATTAAAATAAGATCGATTTTGGCAAATGACATACCAAAGAGAGGATGGGTGGGCGGAGCTAGTACCTGCTAGGATAAGACCGATTTTGGCAAATGACATAGCCTCTAAGAAAAGAAAGGGTGGGCGAGCGGGGCTAGTTCCTGCTAAGAAAAGAGTGATTTTGGCAAATTACATACCTTCTAAGAAAAGAGAGGGCGGGTGGGCGGGGTTAGTACCTGGCAAGATAAAACTGGTTTTGGTAATGACATACCCTCTAAGAAAAAAGAGGGTGGGTGGGCGGGGCGAGTAGAAGCCAGGATAAGACTATTTTTGGCAAATGACCTATCCTCTAAGAAATTTAATTAAATTATAAGAAAAGACACTAGAGGCTCCAAAGCACTTTCAAATTGTTCCAAATAAAAATACCTAGAATCTCAAGATTGTTTTAAAATAAAAAAAAAACAGGGTTTCAAAATTAACTCAAAAATAGGTCAGGTCAGAATTTTTCAAAAACAGAACACCAAAATCCCCCAAGATTTTCGAAAAATTCGGTTTGAAAATCATTTTTTAAATATCTCGAAAACGGTCAAAATATTAATGAGGGAGTATCTGGGGGTACAGAATTCGATCACTTTATTTGAAACACATAAATCAATTGTCCCGGATCAAGACATTTAAAAAAAAAATAGGTGTGAATATGAGATTTCTAAAGTATCTGGAAATCTCGAAAAATGGTCAAAAAATTGATACGTCGGTAAGAAAATTCCAGATATATGTGTGAAAAGTTGGCCAAAAATCCACAAAAAATTTCGACGGCTGATATTGAAAACACCAATTATTATTATTGGTCTGAAAACAAGCTAAATAGGCAAAAAAAAATTTTTAAATTTCGGTTTGAATTTTCTTTTTTAATACCTCAAAAAGTCGGAAAATCGTCTCGGATCAAGAGATTTTTCAAAAAATTAAGTCTGAAAATGATATTTTTTAAATATCTCGACATTTTGGAAAAGGGTCAAAAAATTCACACAGAGATATCGAAAATTTCAGGTTTTTGAAAAGTTGTCAAACAATCCTCAAAAAAAAAATCTAGACGGCCTGATTCGAAAAACATCAATTATTACAGGTCTCAGACCAAGAATTTCGAAAAATTCGGTTTGACAATGATTTTTTTTTGGAAATATGTCGAAATTTCAAAGAACGATCAAAAATCTCTGGGATATAAATTTTGACGGACTGATTCGAGAAAGTGTTAAAAAGCTGAAGAATTTTCGAAAAATTCGATTTGAAAGTTCTTTTTTTAAATATCGCCAAAAGTCGAAAAAGGGCCAAAAAAGTTCTACATTCATAAAGAAGGGGGTGTGGGATGGGCCTTATAGATTTCGATGAGCTGACTGAAAAAACAAAGTAATCGTCTCGCATCAATAGACTTTTCAAAAAATTCATAGGGGGTGCTGAAAGTTGGAGATTTTTGAAAAGTTGCCTAAAATTAAAAAAAAAAAACGCTCCGATTCGAAAGAATGTTAAAAAGTTAACGAATTTTCGAAACATTCGGTTTTAAAATTAATGTTTTTAAATATACCGAAAACTCAAAAAACGCCCAAAAAATTCAAAATTCATAAGGAAGGGGATGGGTGAGGGTCGGGAGTATAGATTTGTACCAGCTTTCTCAAAAAACATTAAGTAATGGTCCCGGATCGAGAGATTTAAAAGAAAATTAGGTTTGAAAGTGAGATTTTTTTAAAATATCTGGAAATTACGAAAAATGGTCAAAAAAATTCCTTGAGGTTGGTAAAAATTCTTGAAATTTTTGAAAAGATGTCTCAAAAACCTCTAAAAATTATGGGACATAGATATCGATGGGCTGATTCGAAAAACATAAATTGTTAATAGGTCTGTACCAAGATTTTAAAAAAATTGGGTTTGAAAATGAATTTTTGTAAATATCTCGAAATCTCGACAAGCGATTAAAAATCTCTACGATATACATCTCGACGAGCTGATTCGAAAAAATGTTAAGAGTTAAAAAAATTTCAGAAAATTAGAAATATCTCAAAAACTGGAAAAATGGTCAAACAATTCCAAATTCATAATATAGGTATAGATGGGGGATAATGGGGGTATAGATTTCGACGAGCTTATTAAAAAAAACATGAAGTAGTGATCTAGGATCAAGGGATTTTAAAAAAAATTACATTCTTTTTATAAAAACTGTCAAGGAACAATGAAAATTTCAGATTTTTGAAAAGTTGTCTAAAAATCCTGAAAAGATTCTGTGACGGTGTGAATCTAAAAACAAAGTATTAATGCTACCGAACCAAGATTTTCGAAAAATTAGGTTTGCAAATGATTTTTTTTAATTATTTCCAAATCTCGAAAAACGGTCAAAAATCTATGAGGTATTGGCTGATTCGAAAAAATTTTGAAGTTAAAGAATTCTCGAAAAATTCGGTTTGAAAATAATTAGTTTTTTAAATATATCGAAAACTCGAAAAACGAGCAAAAAATTCAAAAATTCATAAAAAAGGGGAAGGTGGGGCTTATTTAAAAAAAAAGTAATGGTTCCGGATTAATTAGGTGTGAAAATGGCATTTTTAAATATCTCGAAATTTCGAAAAACAGTCAAAAAATGTCGGATTTTTGAAGTTACCTAAAAACCATCAAAAAATTGGAGGATATGTAGATCTCGACTGATTCGAAAAAAATCAAGTATTACTGGTCTTGGACCAAGATTTTCGAAAAATTCGGTTTGAAAATGAATTTTTGTAAATACATATCTCGAAATCTCGAAAAGTGGTTAAAAATCTCTGCG